GGCCTTCCTACGTTCTCTATCAAGCAATTCACGTGAGCTGTCATTAGCGACTTCAGATAAATCAGCTGTCTTGTTATTTACTTCCATTTCTTCCGTATTTTTCAACTGAGCCTTCACTTCAGTCAGCTCATTGCATAGCGAGCTCAGTTTGTCACTCAGCGAGCGCACCATCTCACTCAAGGAGTTTACTACATCATTCAACAATTTCGACTCATTGCCGTGCTCTTCCACCAACTCCTCTCTTTTTCGAGCACCAAGAGTTGCTTTTGGCAATCACGGCAAAACCAATGAAGCAATTTAGATTTCTGGAGAAATGAGTACTCCTTAGAGCTCAACTTTGAACAGCTGATACAAATGAGATCTTCACATCGTTCACAGGTAACTGTCTGGACTTCGCTCAGAGATATCTCTTTGCAGTACTTGCAAACTTCCATCTCTAGCTGTGCTGATTTGGTTTTATTTTTTATTCTAGAGGCCGTAGATGGCTTTTCTCTAGAGGCCGTTGAGGGCTTTTCGATTATCTTTTTTTATTTTCTGTCCAGCCATTATTAATTAAATGCACGAACTAGATCTCTTGAACGGAGAAAAATACAGAAAAGGACGGAGAAACATACGACTGAGTTGAGTTGAGTATAGCAAAGTTCCCTCGAAAATTAAGGCTGGAAAAACAGCTGAGCTGCAGCTGGCGAGGGGAAGACAGAGGTGTGGTGGGGGAATCAAGGTATCAACGCGTAAGGCGGGTGGAGAAGGGGAGGTGTAGGGGCCAAGAGGGTGGGGAGGGTATAGGAGGGCGAGGCCTGAGCGTAGTCAAGGCACCGATTGTTCTCCGGTTTCAGGCAGTCGCCGAGGGTTTCAAAAACTTGCCCTCATTTCATGCACTAGAATTTGTCGGGAATAAAACACTTGTACTAGCCGTTTTACTCACTATTCGCACAATTTTGATTGAACTGCACTAAGATTGAACCTTTCACTGAAATCGTTTCGGTACAAAATTCGCGAGATAAGTCAAACCGGCATAGTAAAAAGTGAGAAAGTTGGGACCCGCAAAAACTATGTGCGTCCTCGATCACTGCCAGAACTCAACCAAAGTACTTCATTCTTTATTCGAAAGAACTTCAGTATTTTCTTCACACTTCTGCATTGATTCCTTTCGCTACATCAAGTCTCTTTTACCATGCAGACATTGTTGGGGGTTTTGTAAACTTTTGCGTCAATAAATTTTTTCATATATTTATAATGCATATTTCTAGTATTTCTCCATTGATGACTGTTTTAGAGAAAACTTGGCAACAAATGTTGTTTCAAATATTTGTGCATACCAATAATTTCTTTTCTGGGCATTCGAAGTTGAATAACGAATGTTAAACATGGATTTAAGTAATATCATATTTATATATAAAAAAACTCTTCTTTAACTCTCCAGTTTGAAGTTCAAAGTTTTGAGATTATATCAAATAAATGCCAAAAGATCAGCAGCCCTTTTGATTATGCTCCATTATCTTTGTTTTACCATTGTTTTTGGTTGTTTCCACTTATGGCTAAAAGATATACACAATTATAATCATTTACCATATATATTTTCGATTTTTTTTGTGTAAGTATTATTGTTACTGATTAATATGATGCGTATTTCATGGGACTCTTTTATACTCAAGTAATCCTTTGTGGAATTATTGACCATCCAATTTCTCACCTTTTCATGTGCTTCTTTCCTGCATTTCTTTACAATTTCCTTAAATAATCCCAAAATGTTATAAAACAGTTGATTGCTTACCTACGCTTTTATCAATAAATCTGAAAAATCGAATTCACGCTTGAAATCATCAGTAAAAAGCTGCTCTAACTCACGCTGATTCAGCACATTTCTACCTGGTCACTCCCGTTCGGAAAGACCCAGCGATTCTTGCTCCAATATTCCTCCCTTTTAAGTCTTCAATACTCAAGGTGAATATTGAACAAATGCATCATATATACTGTGTTAGATTCCTGCCGTGACATACCTACTGCCACGCCGCAGTATTTTACATCCATTTAATGATGTTGTTCGTTGACAATTCGAAAAAGGTGCGATCAGGTGCACTGCCAGCTGACGTCAGGTGCGCCGCGCCAGGGTCGTGGTATACCTCCCGGATTTGGGGGAGCTCCTCGAACAGCCGACGAGCGCCCGTAGCGGTGAGGTCATTTCTCGGTAAGACCACACGCAGGCTGAGATGGTAATCGAACAAAAAAGAAAGTAATAACACTTTTTTCAGGAAATCTGAGGCAGAATTTTCGTAAAGTAGATCGATACAAAGTAAATATGTTTGCCTGAATGAATCACTCGAGTTGGCTACACCAGCTTTAATTGGAGGGTAAAAACTTAAAAGCAAAGAAAACTCCACAAACATTCATAGTATCTTTAAAGAAAACGTTTCGGAGTCCATCTCCATCGTCAGTTCGAAAATTCTAGAACACAGATAAATCAGTAATTAGTACAGTCAAGATTACAGCAAAAAACCTAAGCTGCAAAACCTACCTATTTACAATTTCAAACGGGTAAGAGCTAAAAGCTAAATTCAAACTAGGCCTCTGTTTAGAAATATACAATGATTCTAAAATGCGCAAATCAGTTGGAAAAAGTAAAAAAGTACCCCCCATTGCAGCGATTCCTAATATATAAGCAAAGGCTGTGAAGACATCAATGTCAATACGCGGACTGAGAGCGCGGGTAAAAGCCGGGGGGACCCCACATTTACGTACAGCAGCAACTAGGGACGCTCGCATATGCATAGGGAGAGTATCTTTGTACCTAAAAAAAGAAACGATTTCAAAATGGTTGACCAATATAACACGAAGATTAACATTTGTGAAATACTTCGAAAACAAAAGTTTTAGCTCCCTTGATATAGTTTCGGATGCAGGGCCGAAATATGGAAAAGAGCAATAAACAACATCCCTACCGTCGCGCTCGGGAGCAACCTCATTGTACCGCTTAGACATGAATTTCTTTATTTGTGTAAACACAAGATTAGTCGGAAATCCATTAAGCGAAAAGATATCGCGTAGAAATTCGAAATCAGCGTGCAGAATATTGTAAGTAGAAAAAATACGAAAGCCCCGATGTAAAAGTGTTTCAATCCCATTAATCTTAAATCGGTACGAGCAAATGCTAAATAAGCTGGTACTGAGACCTGTGAAAGTCGATTTTCGGAATACAGAAGTTTGAAAACGGCCATTAGATTTAGTAATATTGCAATCGAGGAAGGACAGACTATTGTTAGATTCTAGTTCCATAGTAAATTTGATGGATTTATGTTACGAATTTAGGTAATCGAAAAAGAGTTTAACGTGAGAAGGATGCTTAAAAAGTAAAAAAGTGTCATCAACGTATCTGTTGTAGAATATGCTTAAAATCAAAAGGGCAATTGGACAGCCAGGAAGCCTCGTGAAAACACATAGTAAATATTCGTAAAGTTTGGTACGAGCGGAAGACCCATGCCCAAACCGTCAATCTGTCGGTAAAACTTGTTAGCAAATATTTAAAAAGAGTTTAAAACAGATAATTCCAAAAGAGATTTAAAAAATTACGTTTCAAACTTATAACGAGATCATTTACATTCTTAAACAAAGAATTCAGGCATATATCTATGGTTTCATGAAGAGGCGCATTAGTAAATAAATTTCCACGTCAAAAGAGGTCATAGTTAGGTCACAGGTCTTGACTATGGCCTCTTTTTTTAGTTAGGACCAAGGGTTCGAAAATCGTCTTTCACAGGTCTCAGTACCAGCTTTTTTAGCTTTTGCTCGTACCGATTTAAGATTAATGGGATTCAAACACTTTTACCTCGGAGCTTTCGTATTTGTTCTACTTACAATATTCTGCACGCTGAATTCGTGTTAATCTTCGTGTTATATTGGTCAACTATTTTGAAATCGTTTCTTTTTTTAGGTACAAAGATACTCTCCCTATGCATATGCGAGCGTCCTAGTTTATAAATATAGTTGTGCACGATGTGCATCTGCGTACGTCGAGATGACGTCTCGCAATCTTTATTCTAGGGTCGCAGAACATAGGGGCAGGAGTTGTAGAACTGGTAACTTACTGTCGCGCCCACCTCGTTCGGCTGTGCGGGCTCGCGGCGAGAAGTGCGATGTTCCAGTTTCTGACAGTGACTTCAAAGTTTCAGCTTCCAGTTTCGGTGTTTCTGATTTTCGCATTTTAGAATCTTTGTATATTTTTAAACAGAGACCTAGTTTGAATTTAGTTTTTTGCTCTTACCCGCTTGAAATTGTAAATAGGTAGGTTTTGCAGCTTAGGTTTTTTGTTGTAATCTTGACTGTAGTAATTACTGATTTATCTGTTGTGACGAACTAATCTTGAATAATAGCTAATTAATCGCGTCACCTCAAAGTTCGGATGGTCTAATTGTCACGTCCACCAATGACCGGAAATTAAATTTTCCATCAAGTATTCCAATCTAAATTTCACCACCAAAGCAACTTACCCTGGCGTCTGAGTCAAAATCCTATAAGAGAGGAACCAGGACGCAAGTCGGGATCGGCATAGTATCTGACGGCTATAATCAATTTAACACCCACGTCAGAGTCGGTCCTAACTTCGTAGTCTGACATACAGTAGTGGGAAATTTGCAGCAACACTTCATTACATCTGTGTTCTAGAATTTTCGAACTGACGATGGAGCTGGACTCCGGAACGTTTTCTTTAAAGATACTATGAATTTTTGTGGAGTTTTCTTTGCTTCTAAGTTTTTAGTGAATTTGCGATTCAAGCAAACGAATGACATTATTAATTGGAGGGTAATATAGACTTCATATATATTTACCCCTATAACACGTATATATTGGAATTATAGGGTGTTCGAGGCTATACCGAAATCGCTAAGCATTTGGCTTCATTACCTACAAGATATTATGTAAGAAATTTTACATATTACAATGTTTTTTCAAAAATTGTTCGTGAAATATTTAAATTATCTTTTAATATCACATTAATTCATTTCGAATGAAACAAATTCTTAGTTCTCAAATGGCAAGCGCTAGAGTAACAGAAACTTCCAGCATGAGATTACCAATTAATTCAAATTGAGTATATTCACACGCACCGAGAATCCCTGAATAGCTGCAGAATACCGATCATCCAGTCCAAGTCCTCGTCGCAGAGGTCTGGGAAGTGCCAGCGGTTGACAGTATAATCGAAATCCCATAAATCTGAGCAGACTTGGAGAGGCGTTCCTCGTACACAGCAAACATCGTCTGAAGAAAAGTCCGGACTCGAATGAACAAGAAACGTTTTCTCAGCTAATTTATCCTTCTCTTCTGTATTAAAAATCTGTGTGATCCTCAGTCAATCGAAGTTCAATAATTTGACGGTAATGACGCGCCCGATACAATTTTTGACGATTGTTCCTAGCAATTTACTGATTGCTTTTGATTGTTCCTAAAAAAGGTAAAAATTCAGCGCAAAAAAACATTGACTTCTAACCGTGGCTGCTAATGATTCAAACTTGCAGTGAAAACGCCTACACTGAGCGCTGTCTTTTTCCATCCTGCACCGTAAGTTGGCTGCATTTACGGTCTGTGGCAATGTGTAGTACGCGAATCGAATTTTATTTTTCAATATGCAGATCATCCAGGCCCATAAATGCTAAGTCAGTTTGCGTTGTTCATTGTCTCCGCAGTGACGATTGTTAATAAAAGCCTCCGACCTCTTCAACGGGCCAATTGATAAAGATAACAGAGACGTGTTTGTTTCTTTAAGTTATGCTCTCAGTAAATTATGTGAATTTGTACTGTAGCGTGGTTATTAACTTAGAATAAGTAATAACTTATGATAATGCAATGCATTGGCATGGTATCCATGCAACTGTTCGTCCACCACCGTCACTCATCGTTGCCAAGACACGGAGAGGTCACTTTCTGTTTTTTAAATCAACAATTTTCAATAATAGTTACAACGAAGGGTTCAGCTTACTGTTAAATATTAGAAAACTTACCAATTTGATATGGTAAAATTTCACAAGTCCAGACGTCGTTGTCGCTGTCAAAACGTACACCGATCTTGCAAGGCCAGTCCTCTCTATTTACCCCTGTTTGGAGTTTGGGAGCCGTAAATCTACCTTTTCACACAAAGTCCGGGGTAAGTAAGCAAAAAATATTCAATTTTTATGTTTATTATGATTTATTTTGTCCACTTATTTGAACGTGTTCGTGATCCTCAGCAGTTATCGCTTTTCATTTAATTTTCTCTTGCTCATACGATTTTCTTGATGAACTCGAACTCAACTTATGCTTCATAGTAGTGAGCAACTCTCTGTTTATTGGAGTATATAAAAAGTCAATGAAATGTAGAAACGCCAGCTTGTATTTTGTCTTAACAAACTTTCCTCAAGAATCAAAGGTGCAACATAAGAATGACAACAATTCATGGAAAAAATGCCATTTCTTGGGAAAACTTAAAAAATTTCAAGACTTGCAACAGATAAAACAGTAATTTATTGATATTAGAATGAATCATAAATAATTAAGCTGAAATATGAATCGATCTTACCATACAATCTACCCCTCTGCATACTGTCGTCAAATCGTTTGGATAAGTAGGACCCAACTTGACCATTAGAGACGTACATGGTATCTAGGCGGCCACTGTAAACACAGAAATATATGAGAGAATGCATGATCGAGAAACATCACTTTATAAAAGAATGCGAAGAATAAGGTACATTAATTTATGTAATTTTCAGAGTTTTCATCAAGTTGAAATTGTCATTTCACGTCTAGACTTGTGAGCTTAAAAGTCAACTCATATTGGGCTACGAACGTTAATTGCGCTCCAGCCATCAACATGGGAAGCTCCTATTGAATGCTCACACGCGATCCGCTACCCGCAGACTAAACATGAGTTTACACAAAATGTAATGTTCTTTTTAAAGGTCCATTCAAGTTACGATGAAAGACAAAGTGAGATCACGTCAGCGGTGACTCAAGACCTGAATGCGGAATAAAAAACAAATGTACAATTTAATACACTTATAAATATCACAACTTGCGCATACGTTATTATTAAACGTGAAGACATCTATGAAATAGTCAACTAAAATACGCATGTGGCATGGGCATAGATGAAATTTCTTAACATTGTTTATATACTATGTAGTTATCCTTATACCATGAGATATTGCACTCCATTTTTGAGCGACAAGTTTTTAAGATGCTCTAAATTTTATATACGCTTCATTAGGTGATTATAAATTATTAGTAAATTGGTTCCGACAATTGGATGCAGATGCGTTTGAAATTTCCATTCGCTAGTTCAACAGGTTATCTTAAATTTGAACATATTGTCAATAAAAGAAAAGAAAAAAAGGGCAACTTGAATTGGTTCTTGGAGGTCAGAATCTGTGTGGGGACAGTTCAACTGAAAGTCGATAATAGAAAACCCAGCATTTGACATTCTTTGCAGCAGTGATGACAAAATCTGCTAATTTTGTGGTGGTGATGGTAGTGATGATGGTGTTGGTGGTGATGGTTGGTGGTGGTGGTGGTGGTGCGGTGCTACTAGTGCGAGGGAAAGCTCGCTAAATATTACATTTCCCGCTAAAATTGTCACATTAGCTTAAGCGCGCTGGAAGCTTAGTTCACTGCTTCTCAAGCCCTGAAGACGGGCGCATCTTTTACGCTCTTCGTTTCCAGTCAGCTTTGCTTTGCTGTACTGCGGTTTGCACCGGTAAGCTGCGGCATGTGAATTAATACTTGTATTTTTGTAATTGTTGTCTTAGCCAAACTATACTGAAATTGTGTCACTTGCGTTTAATTGGTTTAGGTGGGGTGCAATTATGGATGTGAATTAGATGTAAGTTGTTAGCCTCAAGGTCTGACTAAACGGTTTCCGTTTACCAGCTAGTCATTTCGCTAGTCAGTCATGTTTTTCCATTAGCCTATATTTTGTCAGCACCCCAACAGTCTGCTTGCTTTTATCTCCCTAGCGCGGCAGCACCTGTAGCCTGATGCTGCCTATGACTATGTCCCTTTTATTTAAGGTACGCCGGTGGGCCTGCGAGGTTTTCCTGACCAGTTCACCTCCGGAGCCATTGTATTCTGCAAGTTGTTACTAGAGATTAGCAGCACGACGTGCCTGATTCAATCGTGGGTTGCTTCACCACGTCACCGTCAGGGGCCACTGCAACCTCGGGAATCTTAAGGCCTGTCCACACGCTCAGTGTTACACAACGATTTGTCTGCGCATTTCTAATCGATGCAGTTAAAACATTGCGTGCGGACGGGAAAACTGAGCAGTTTTGAAGCCGCCAGGAAAACTGCGCAGTTGCATCGAAATCTGAGCTACAGCGCATAGATTTCGATGAACTGCGCAGACAAGTCGGAACGTGTGGACGGTATAGCACAGTTTTCCGATTCAATTTGCCCTCAGTTTCAATGATTCTAGCGACGCTGGCGGACCTTAGGTAATGTTCTCGGGAATTTATTGCTCGTCTATACGAAAGTTTTTATTGCATTTGGCGAGTAAAATTGAACGACTATAGTAACAGGGACAAAAAGGTGGAGACATACAAGGGCTTAGTAGAAAAATTCAACGAAATCGATGAAAGCGCAAATAGAGAAGCAGCTGTAAAACAAGTAGAGGAGCATTTACCGTAAATAATTGGGAATAAATAAAAAATCGATTCTTTCTGGACCTGGAGGAGAAGAAGACACCTACAAGCCATCTCTCTTGTATTTTGATTCCTCGTATCCCCTAAATGATCCAGTCTTTTTTAACAAGGCACAATGCCCAAATTTATCAAAATACTGCCTTCTCCATGGCACGTCTTGGGCAAATTTACGGCCGGACTCGCGGCCGGTCTCCCCAAAATCGATGAGCATGGAATATCTCCCAAAGTAATGAACGTAGCTCGATAAAACTTGGTACACGTATTCATTAGAACTTAAGAGGCCTGTTCACGGACGCTCCAACTCCAAGCTCGGCACACTGGGCGAACTGAGGGTAAATTTTGGCAGCAGCGTCTTGCAGGGTAGTGACGTGGCCGAGGGTGCGCGAGAATAGTGAGGTATGAACTGCACTAATAATTGTGCAGGGATTTTTTAGTTACGTCGAGACATACATTTGTTAACTAATGTGAACTAATTTATAATTTGGCATAATTATTATATTATATTATATAAATAATATATTATAATATATAATTATTATATTATAATTATAAATTTTAACTAATTTATAATTTGTAACATTGAGTTCCCTGAAGTCGGAGTTCCCTGGGACCAGCAGATCTTTGTAAAATCTGCACTCGCGTGTAAGTT